AATTTCTTGCCCACATATAATTAAAATTACTTATTAATGATTTACTAAAGTAGTACAAAACGAAATTGCCTGACGCTCAGAAAAAAAAATCAGAAATTCCATTCAATTATTGAATTAAGAGTCACAAAAAAGTGTTCTACAAATCTTGATTCGACTCAAATTCAGTGCATGCAATTTAAATAATATACAAATACAAATAATGGTAATAATATATATTCTTGGGGAACATAACATCAAGAAAGTAAAGATTTTAAAACATCTTCATCATTTCAGACGTTTCTAGGTGAAATTCTACGTCATCATCAGTGAACCTACAAAATGACGTAGAATTTTATGTCGAATAATAAGAATGAATAATAAAATAATTTCATAATCAGAATGAACTATTCTTAACACACACACACACACACACACATATATATATATATATATATATATTTTTGTAGAGTTTCGAACAAGAATCCAAAAATAATACAAAATAAAAAACAAGAAAAGTTTTTAATAAACAATTTCTTTATTTAATTATTTGTTTTACTGTCGACGTTTCGGAACTAGGTACGTTCCATCTTCAGGACATCTGTCAAGAAACATGATCTTGATGAGATTTTAGCAAACAATATGTTTAGGAAAAGAAAATAGATTTTTCTTAAATAATAAATTAATTGCAAAAAAAAAATATAATAATGTACAGAAATATGTTAATATGATCAAAATGAAAATGATAAAAATAAATGAGTGGATTATCAGAACAGGATATTAAACATAATAGAAAATTTTTTTGAAAGTTATGGAAATTTTTTAAGAAAAGGTTAATGACAAAGTTGAATTAATTACCTGTATGTTTGAATATATGTTAGCACTTTTTCACTAAACAAGCTTTTTAACAAAAATGAATTTGTGAGTTAATTTTCCGCCGAATAATTAGATTTTGTAAATCAAAATTACTAAAAGATTTGTCTTTTTTTAAAATTATTATTTGAAACACAAATAATATTGTTTTTTAGATGTTGTGCGATTGGTTTTTGAAAATTAACTAAATTGAAACTGATGTGTCCTTTGTAACACGTGTAAACACTTGAACGAGAGCTGTGAGATTGTATGTGTGTGTTTTTATATGTTAGGGTGTGAATACTTAAATTGTTGATCTTAAAAGAAAGTCGATATTAATTGTTTGTCAAAAAGTGTAAAAAATTTAAATATGAGTCATGTAATAGGTTGTGATCTGATCTAATGTTGACACTGTTAGAAACATTTATGAGAATGAGACAACTCTCCGCGAATAACCTTCTAAAGATGCAACTTTCATGATATAAAATCTTTGGAGTGAAATTAAATGAATGGGCGTTTTCTATAGAGTGTTGTACTAGGGTACTTTTGAAATTTTTTTGTTTATGGTGGACCACAGTTTCTTGACAGATGTCCTGAAGATGGAACGTACCTAGTTCCGAAACGTCGACAGTAAAACAAATAATTAAATAAAGAAATTGTTTATTAAAAACTTTTCTTGTTTTTTATTTTGTATTATTTTTGGATTCTTGTTCGAAACTCTACAAAATATACACAAATCCAAGACTCTACCATTCAATATATATATATATATATATATATATATATATATATATATATATAGGGTGGTCCTTAATATGTACATTTTTGAATTTCCTTGCTCCCAAGGGCTCAAATGGTTCCAAATTGATGAAAAACAAGTCTCTGAAAGTTTTAGCCCTTAATATTGTCTTTTAGATAGAGCGCAATTCAATCAAAGCTTCGTATGGAAATGGCATGCATGAATTTTCAAAAATTCTAAAAATGTTCTTAGATATAATTTAGCAAACAAATGAATGAGTTTTATTCAAAATTTGTTGCTAAGTTATACCTGAATTTTTTTTTTTAATTTTGGAAAATTTTTCCATGCTATTTCCATACGAAGTTTGATTGAATTGCGAATTTGGAATTATTTGAGCCCTTGGGAGCAAGGAAATTCAAAAATGTCCATATTAAGGACCACCCTAATATATCTAATATAAATATATCTTGATATTGTTTGTTTCTTGATATTATATATATATATATATATATATATATATAAACTAGTTTTTTAGTTCGACTTCCATATTCCTGATATGAGTATTTGCAGCCAGATTGTCAAAATAAAAACAATAAATAATTAGCGATGACACACATACAATATCGAAGCGTACAGACTATTTGGCTGAAAATAAACATTTCAAGAATATATATATATATATATATATATATGTAAATATATATTCGAATAATATTTGAAATTTTGCGACAATTTTTTTCTCGCAAAAACCTAAATCCTGGTTAAGGTTGTCTAGAAAATGTTTTTTGATCTAATTATCTTGAATCATATGTTCTCATATCATCAAAGTGAATTAAAATTAATGGTAAACAATAAAACGTGCTAATTTTAAGTTTTCTCGGCATTTCAAGTCATTTTGAATCGTTTAAGACTAAAATGGGGAGAAATGTGTGTTCGCGCGTGTGTGAGCCATAATTTAATCTTTCGTCTTAAATATCCGAACAAATTGCAAAAACTGCAGTCATAAAAGCCACAATAATGATAAGATTAAGAATTGTTTTCTTATTATTTTTATCTTTTTTGTCCGTGTCCCCCGGACTATTTGTCGAATCCTGTACAATTGCATAATACCAATACCATCAATAGTGTTGTACTTGCACAATTGCACCTGAACTTGAAATCCGAATCCGATAGCGCAGACGTCGTCCTTGACAAATTATTAACATTAACGGCATTATAATTTGTTTATAAATGCTAATTAAATATTAATTAACAGAAACGTTAGCGCAATTAAAAAGCAAAGGTCGGAAACGAATGCGAATGCGCATCCGCAACTATTATTATTGTTAAGGACTAGTGTAATGGATTTATTCACACATTGGTACGGAACTCTACTTAAAACATTTTTTTCTTAAATTAACCCTGAGTCCTCCCGTAAATTAGCGGTTAAAACTATTGGAATGCAATTAGAATTCCAGTAGCTGACAGCTTAATGTCAAGCAGCACTAATAAAAAATCCATCTGTATTACAGAGCAAGGACAACCGTTGGGTTGCCTTCTGAAAATGACTCAGTTTAGTGAAATCATCACAACAGCTTATGAGATCCTCAAAAATCTGTTCGAATAAAAAATATATACAATTACGAACTCTATATTGCATAGATAAGTATTTTTCAACCCATTTGATGTTAATGGGTTAATGGAATCGTCTCTCTATTCTAGACAAATCGATAAGGGAAATTGTTTGTTTTTAAAATGTTTGTTTTATTGTTAAATAAAAATAAAAAGCAACTAGTTGTAAGTGGCATTTTTCCTTAAGGAAAGTTGCATGAACTTCCCAACACGTGAAACTAATCGACTGAATCGACTAATCAATAAAGAATGTAACAATTTTTAGTTTATTAAAACGAGTCCATTTTGTTTTGCAAAATCACCATTGCAAGTTATGTTCATTATCTATGTTAATAAATAACTAATCGTCATTTTTCCATTTCTAATCTTTTGTTTACAAAATGTTCTATGAAGTCCGAGTTGATAAAATAACTCAATAAAATGCATACAGAGATATTAGAGCGACGATAATGGAATAAAAATTCACTCTTGTCATTGGAATTAATAATAAAAATCAATAGTGATAGATAAATGATGATAAAAGTAGATAAAATTAAATAAAAGTACAAGGATATAGTAAATCTGCCCATCATAGTGAATCTTTGTTTTAAAAGGTAATTTTTTTTTTAAAATACATATTTTTGTTCAAGAAATGTAGAAGATATATAAAATTTATTTAAAACTAGTGGTATATGGCATCGTGCCTTAAGGCAAATTGCTGGAACTTCCCGTACCGTAATGAAGTATTCGAGAACTTTTAAACGTTTTCAAATATATTATTACAAATGCTGTAACTTTCATTAATTTTGCTATCTTGTTATATCTGAGCAAATCAAATGTAAATCATAAATAAATCAATTTATCTCCACAAACATTAACAATCGTCATTTCATTTCGAATTCAATTTCCAAAAAAAAAAATAGTTGCCTAATTTACACAAAATTGAAAAAGTGCTCCTGTATAGTCACAGTCTAAACTTTGCAAATAATTCTGTGCGACATTTTCACTCATACTGTGCTTAGCTTGGCGGCATTTTCACATTTTTCAATAGTTTTCACAAAATTGGAAAAGTGTTCCATTGCATAAACAGTCTAAACGCACTTGGGTAAACATTTGTACCAGAGTGGCGCTTAGACTGCGCTTAGCCTGGGCCATTTTTTGAATTTTTAATCCAAAATTACAAAATTATTTTATGGAAAATAAAAAAAGATGTAATAATTTTTTATCTTCAAAAGCAATTGTTTTGTCAATACAAGAAGAAAGTTTTTTAGATCATTCAAATCGGACGCTTAGTTCACTCAAAAACTGCCGTTTTTTGCACATTTAGCTCTATATCTTCAAAATGGCGGAACCTGTCTTTGCGAAAAACTAATCACCTCTTCTCTCAATCATTACAAATTGAATGTTTTTTAGATCATTCAAATCCAATACTCCGTTCTCTCAAAAACTCGATTTCTATTTTCTGCACTCCTTGCTCTGTATCTCCGTAACGGGTGGACCTGCCTTTGCCAAAAACTAATCAGCATATCTCCCTATCAATAAGGATCGAATGTTTTTTAAACCATTCAAATCGGTTGATCCGTGCGCCCGAAAACGTGGACGAAAAAATGCGGACATACAAAACACACACACACATCCATTTCTTCTGACAATGAGGTATGTCAGTAAAACGTTCAGAAACCTTCAAAACGTCGAGAAATGCAAAAATTTTTATTTTCGATTTTCGGCCCATTACTATAACTACCTTACGGGAAGTTAAATATAATGTGTATTGAAAATTCTTGTTATAAAGCACGAAAAAGTACTTGGGATCTACATATGCCATATTTCTTATCATTTACAGGGCTCATGACACTTTCAATCAAAACCTCCAAATAACAAATACCCTCAAAATATAAAAAATGAAAGAAAACGGCAAAAGAAACCCCGAAATGCACGCCTATGTCAACCACGGCCTGGTCGTGTCCAGCTCAGATGTCCCAGAACCCCATGGGTTCCTCCAGGGCAGCAACGAATTCATTTGTGAGTACAAATTGACCCAAAAATAAAAAAAATAAATTAACCGAATAAACTGATGTTTATGTTTTTGTTCGCAATTATTTTGCAGTAACCGATGATAAACAATCAAAAACCAAAGAGAGATTGAAATCGATGATGCCTGTCGCCAAACGGAAACTGCAAGGTGCTTGTTCGAAAAAAATGTTGTATAAAAGATTGCCGATATTAAATTGGCTACCAAAGTGAGTAGAATGGATACCAGAAAAATCATATATTGTTCTTATATTTAATTTTTATATTTTTTCAAGGTATAATTCAACGGACGCCGTTGGCGATTTGGTTGCAGGAATAACTGTCGGTCTGACTGTGATACCACAATCTTTAGCATATTCAAATATAGCACATCTACCTCCTCAGGTAACCAGAAAAAATACACCAAAAAAGAACAAATAGATTTTTTTTAATCTTTTTATGTGAAATCCTTATGTCTATCATATTTGTCAAAATCCAGTTAAAAATGAGTCATCAGAATTAGCAAAACTAATATACTTTGGCAACTTTAAAGAATTTTTGCCATCATTTTCTTTTACTTGGTATTGACAAAACAGAAAGTAATAATTATTGATGGCAAATGAAAAATGATGATAAAAATTCTTCTTACGAATCCTTGTTTCCATAAAGCTTGTTAATAAGTTTTAGTTATCCAAATAAAATGTAAAAGATTAATTAATTAATAAAAACATTTTTACCTTTTGTTATGATGATCCCAAATTGAAAGTAAAATTGTCTAAAATTTTAATCTACATGAAGACATCCTGATCTTTATAGAATAATTTTGTCCACAATGTTCAATTATCTTCCTTTTGTTTACAAAATTGAAAAATTCTGATACGTTTAGTACCATACCAAATCTCCAAAAATAGGTTTCCTCGACCACCAATTTTGCGAAATTCCTAAATGAGAAGTTTGATATTAGTCATAAATTTTAACAAATACTGGTAAATTTCTTGTGACAACAATTATAAATTAGCTATACCAAAATTATAATTTTGGTATGTATAGATACCAAGTTGGAGAAAAATCCTGTTGTTTACAAGTCATTTTGTTCATAATGTTTGACAAATTCCAGTTCACTATTATTAGTCATCAGAATAAAGTTAGCAAGATCAATTAATTAATTTCTATAAACTGGCTACAATTTTACCTTTTTGATATAAATATATCTATAGAATATTTAAAATCCCTTATTTACTTAGAATCTAATTAGATTCAACTTGGATTCATAAATATTGTTATACCAAGCTGAAAATAATTAAATAAATTCTATCCTTTTATCTGTAATGTTTCTTGGACATCAATTCACCAATATTAATCATTAGAACAAAATTTAAATTAATCTGTTAATAAGTATACTTGTTTACCTTTTGTTATGAATGATTTGCCTGATATCTATTGATTATGATCTTTATTTTTCTGGATGAAGACATTCTGCATATTATAGCATTGTTCAGAATCATCAATCATCTGTGTTTTGTTCACAAAATTCGAAAATCCTGATAAATTTAGTCGCATACTAAGTTTTCTTGGTTAAGAATTTGGCAAACTTCCTAAACGATAATGTGTATATTAGTCAACAATTTTAACTATAAAACCAAAAAACTAAAAATCAACTTATTAAAAAAAATGTAATATAGGAAACTGTATATCTAAGTCTTTAGCATAAAAGAGTACATTCTTCATAACTAGTGTGAAATTTTCAAAAAATCAAATTTTCAATTTTTCCATATTTCGATACGTTATATCTTTAAAAATAACATACCAATATTTTAAATCGATATCCTAAATAGTTTTTGAGTTACAAGCATTTAAAGAGTGTATATATAGTATATAGTATAACGATTATTTTATCTTTAAAACGCGTTTTTCTCGAAACAGCATTTTCCGAATTTGCTGCAGCGATTACTCAAAAACAAATGATCCGATCACTATCGAATTTTTTTTACATGTTCTATATATAGTTCTCCGTAAAATGAACTATCGATTTTTTGATCGGATCAAAAATAGAATTTTTGATCCGATCAAAAACGACCAAAATTTTGCGTAAAATTCGACTTTTTTTTAAAAAACGCCGTAATTTTGTCAATTTTTGATTTTTTTTCTTCATCGTAGTTCATTTTACAGAAAATATTATCTAGTTTAACAAGCATTTTTCTTTTTTAAATTTCATCCGCCTAGAAGGCCGGAATCACTGCAGCAGTGAAGGGCCCTTTTTTGTCGCGCCGCTGGAGATCGACGATAACTTAAAAAATATTTAATTTTTTCCTTCAAGAATTTTACTATGTATTCTCAAAATATGTATAAATATATTCCCAAAATTTTAAAAAGATTGATAAAGTAGTTTTTTAAATATAAATTCCCAAAAATCACCTTTTTTTAGGCGGTTACACTAGTTGTGCCCCTTAAAAGTCTGAGCATTGTCTACACACTTAGTCAATTGACAACATTTTATCCAAAATTTTGTCCAAAAATTTTCACACAATGAAATTAAAATCATTCCAACAAACTCCTTAAAAACCCTTAGGCAACAATAAACAAATTTAAAAAAAATATGTCAAATTTCTCACCTGAATAATTGTTATGTCCTTTCGGTCTTACCTTTACCAATTAATGTTGATTTTATTCTAGTACGGTTTATACAGTTCCTTCCTCGGTTGTCTCATCTACATAGTCCTTGGGAGCTGCAAAGATGTCCCAATGGGCCCCACAGCAATAGCTTCTTTATTAACATTCCAATCTACAAAAGATTTGGGAGTCGAATACGCCATCCTGCTCTGTTTCCTGTCAGGAGTCGTCGAAATCGCCATGGGCGTCCTAGGATTAGGTATCATGATAAAAATTGATACAGAAAACACATACTCAAAATGAAGTAAATTTACTAAGAACTTTTTCTCACCAGGTTTCCTGATCGACTTCGTGTCTGGTCCAGTAGCATCAGGGTTCACTTCTGCAGTTGCTCTGATTATTGTCACGTCACAAGTTAAAGATGTTTTGGGTATTGAAACAAGCGGGAGTACATTTTTAGATATGTGGTCAAGTATATCTAAAAATATTTCCGATTCCCAAATGTGGGACTGCGTGATGGGTGCTGCTTGTATTATTATTCTACTCATCATGAGGGTAATTAAAATTAAATTGGTACCAAATAAATAACAAATTTTTATATATATTTTTTTAAATTTGTAGTTAATAGCCATGTTGAAAATCGGTCCAGCAGACGATGCATTGAAGTCCAAAAAGCAAAAAGTGATCAACAAAATGTTATGGTTAATTGGAACTGCCAGAAATGCCATTCTGGTGGTAGTCTGCGGTTTAATTGGATATGCCTTGACCGACAGCGATTTAAAAACACCTTTTAAAGTCATAGGTAATACAATAAAATTTAAATCAGCATTAAATAGTTAACTTCCCGTAGGGCAAGTTATAGTAATCGCAAAAAAATTGAAAATGAAAATTTTTATATAACTTTACGTTTCAAAGGTTTCTGAGTATTTTGGCATACCTTAGAAAAAATGAATGTATGTGTGTGTGTGTGTGTGTATCTGCGTGTATGTGTGTGTGTGCGGATACAAATTTTTGTCGACGATTTCGGGAACACGGATGAAGCGATTTGAATAATTCAAAAAACATTCGATTCGTATTGATAAAGGAGACGTGCTGATTAGAATTTTGGCGAAGGCAGGTCTAGCCGTTCCGAAGATACGGGGCAAATAGTGCCAAAAATGTTAACTCAGTTTTTAAGAGAACGGAGCGTCCGATTTGAATAATTCAAAAAACATTTTACTTGTATTAACAAGATGAAAAACTGATCAAATTTTCATGGAGGCAGGTCTCGGTTTCAAAGATCTAGTAAAAAAAGTAAAAAAATGCCATTTGGCGGTCAAAAATGATTATTAGACATATGTACATCAAATTATCATATATTTTATAGAGATTTTAACAAAAAGTATAAATTTTGTTTACATTCCTATGGGTTCCGTACCAATGTTTATCCGTTAGACGCCGACGCGGCGCTTACGCGCTTCGATATTTTGTCTCTACGCAGTTAAAGCAGTACGATTGCTTTGAAAAAAGTTCAGAATTTCCAAAATATTTTAAAATAAATTCTTCAAAAAGTCTTTATTTTTCAAAAAAAGTAAATTTTTGTCAAAAGTTTATAGTTTCTCAAAAATCTAATATTTTCACAGTAAACTTTTTTCAAAAATGTTAATCTTCTTAAAAAAAAAAAATTTGGTACGGGAAGTTTCAGCAATTTGCTTCGGCACGATGCCATGCGCCCCACTAATTACCATTAAACTTATTTTTTTTTTATAATTTTATTTGAACAGCAATCAGAACTAATGGGTTCTATGAGCTGTTGTGAGTAAGATCTTACAAACTACGTTTTATTATTAAACTTATGAATATTATCGTAGGTGAAGTACCTTCTGGACTTCCCCAAGTGATGCTGCCACCATTTTCCGTGGAGCGCAACAACGAGACCATCAATTTCTTCCAAATGACTTCTCAACTCGGTTCTGGAATTATAGTTGTACCTTTGGTGTCCTTGTTGGAAAACATTGCAATCTGCAAAGCTTTTGGTAAGTCAACACAAAAAATACCTACACCATCTAATATTTAAATACAACTACTAACCTTGTTTTGTGCTTACAGCAAATGGTAAATCAGTTGATGCCACTCAGGAATTGTTGGCTATCGGAGCAGCCAATGTGGGAAATTCTTTCGTTCAAGGTTTTCCTGGTACTGGTTCTTTAAGTCGAGGGGCTGTTAACAATGCCAGTGGTGCCAGGACTCCTTTGGGAGGTCTTTACACAGGTAAGGAGTAATTGACCAAATTGGTATAAGACATTGGTTTTATATTTATTGTCTTACAGGATTGTTGGTGATAGCGGCTTTGCTGTTTTTCACTCCGTACTTCTTTTTCATACCAAAGGCTTCTCTTGGAGCAATAATCATAGCAGCTGTGGTCTTCATGGTTGAAGTTAAAGTTGTGAAACCAATGTGGAGAACTAAAAGTAACTACTCACAATACAAAATCATTTTACGAATAATTTCTAATGATTCTTAACTTTTGTACAGAAAGCGATTTGATTCCTGGAATCTTCACATTTGTTGCTTGCCTAGTGTTTCCTTTGGAATATGGTATTTTAGTTGGCATCGGGATAAATGTGATCTTCATTCTTTATCATGCAGCAAGACCAAAGATTTCTTTAGAAATTTTGACGGTAAGTTCCAAACTTGGTAAACAACAATAACTTTTACATAAAAATTTATCACGAGTCCATTATTACTCGATTCTTGTCTTTTACCCAGAGTCCTGCTGGTGCAACCTACCTGATGCTGACCCCAGATAGATGTTTAATCTTCCCATCAGTGGACTATGTCCGCAACATTGTCAACAAACAATCAACCAAGAACCACCAGACTTTATACCCTGTCGTAATAGATTGCTCCCATGTCTATGGAGCTGACTACACGGCTGCTACAGTCATCAAAATCTTGATAGAAGATTTCAGGAAACGTAATCAAGGTTTATATTTCTATAATCTGAAACCTAGTGTCTGCCAGACGTTCGAGGCTTTAAGTGCAGAACATCTGGTAGTATTTTATAGAAGGGAATGTTTAGATGATCTGTTAAAACAGACGGAGAGTAGTACTGAAAAAGTGTAGGATGTAGGTATAGGTTTATTATTCATTCATTCATCTGGTATATAATTTAACTATATGCATATTGTGATTGTATTTTATTAGCTTCGATTACCATATCCAACGTGTTTTGGATGTTGTGGACAATCGAAGTTTGTAGCAAATATTTTTATAGTGATACAAAGGGACCATAAGGACTTCACAACTTTGGTCAAGTCGTGGCAAAAAATTTTAAATAGTGAATTATCTTTTATCTGGCATCTCAGCATGATGTGATTTAACCATAAAAAACTCCATACTTGTGTAATATTTATTAAAACTAAACTAAGTTATTAGTTTTAGGCAGCTAATATTAACAAAAACTAGCTTTATTTAATATTTTGTTAATAAGCAAAAAATTGGTGTCTTGTCATCGAACCAAAACAAGAAAAAAACAATTGAAAGACCTCTAGCATTAAATCACAGCTGTGATAATTGTCTGTGCTAATTTTTAATGAAGACAACACAATTTTAGTTTTAGAGAAAATGATAAATAGAAGAAAAAAAGATCTTAATGGAAAAGTATTAGTTACCATTAGACGTGTATAGTATTATTTAACTTTTTAATTGAATTTAACAGCAGATTTAGAAAGCCTTATAGGTAGACGCAGTAGTCATCAATTAGATTGATTAAAATATATTTTTACGAATTTGAGCTCTTTTGAGAAGAGTCCCGCAAATATTTCCAGGTATTTTTATATGGTGACTACTGTAGTGCAATTTTGTTATTTAGTATTAGAAACCAACTTCCATTAGTTTTAAGTATAGTTAACAAAATAGTACAATGTTAGTACCATAAGACAACAATTAGATATGTTTTTAAGAAGACCAATACACTGAGACCTCAGTGTAATTGTATTCTTATACGATACTCGTTGATTGTAAAATTTAAGTAAGAAAATACAGTATTTTAGTATTTTTAGTATATTCTCAGCATTTTTTTTATTAATTTTATAAGCGATTCTGACGCGCTTTATGTCGAAGCCAACGTTCGCGCATTTCAGGAACAGCAGGTCCCCAATCGGCAGTGGGTTTTATAGAATTTTTCAATCTCTACATAAATAAAATTGATTGCTAATAAAAATTCACAAAGCAACTATCAAATCCTTAATGCGTACCTCTTTAAATGTTCCTTTTTCCTTAAAAATCAGATGATACACCATGTATATCGGTATCCAAATTATTGACACCATTGCGGTCATCCAACCAATTGCGATTGCCAAATCAGGATACTCTTGTCCATTGTAAGTGACTCTCACATTGAAAATCGCCACCGATAACAGGATGAACTAAAACACACGTTTTATTACATATGATTATGTTATTTTTTTTATTTTCCCGTAGTGTAAGTTATAGTAATCGCAACAAAATCGAAAACTAGTGGGGCGCATGGCATCTAGCCTTAATTAGATTAACATTTTTGAAAAAAAATTACTCTGAAAAAATTAGATTTTTGAGAAACTATAAATTTTTAACAAAAATTTACTTTTTTTGAAAAAAAAGACTGAAGAAAAATTTATTTTGAAATATTTTGGTAATTCTGAACTTTTTTTTAAAGTAATCGTACTGCTTTACCTGCATATAGACGAAATATCGGTTGATCGATGCGACTGTAATCGCGGACGAAAAATTGTATCCAAACACATACACACACACACACATACACACACACACACACATACATCCATTTTTTCCAAGGTATGCCGAAATGTTCAGAAACCTTTGAAATGTAAAGATCTGCAAAAAATTTTAACTTCCCGTAGAGTAAGTTATAGTAATCGCAAAAAAATCAAAAATGAAAATTTTTATATATCTTTACGTTTCAGAGGTTTCTGAACATTTTGGCATACCTTAGAAAAAATGGTTGTATGAGTGTGCGGATACAAATTTTCGACGGCGATTTCAGGAACACGGATGAGGCGATTTGAATAATTCAAAAAACATTTGATTCGTATTGATAAGGAGACTTGCTGATTAGTTTTTGGCAAAGGCAGGTCTAGCCGTTTCGAAAATATGGGACAAAAAGTGCAAAAACGGTAGCTCAGTTTTTAAGAGAACAGAGAGTCCGATTTTAATAATTCAAAAAACATTTTACTTGTATTGACAAGCTGGTCAAATTTTCATGAAGGCAGGTCTAACGGTTTTGGAGCTCTAGAGTAAAAAATGCCATTGGCAGTCACAAATGATCATTAGACACATGCACATCAAATTATCAGAGATTTTATAGAGATTTTAACAATAAGTATAAATTTTGTTTACATTCCTATCGGTTCCGTACCAGTGTTTATCCGTTGGACGGCGCAGTTAAAGCAATACGATTGCTTTGAAAAAAGTTCAGAACCTCTAAAATATTTTAAAATAAATTTTTCTTCAAAAAGTCTTTTTTTTTCAAAAAAAAGTAAATTTTTGTCAAAAATTTATAGTTTCTCAAAAATCTAATTTTTTCAGAGTAAATGTTTTTCAAAAATGTTAATCGTTTTTAAAAAAATAATAATGTTTGGTACGGGAAGTTCCAGCAATTTGCCTTAAGGCATGATGCCATGCGCGTCACTAGTTATTTTTTTGTTCAAATATTTAATTCTGATACGGGAAGTTACTACTAGTTCATGAACTTGTTGGCTAGATGTACAACTTACCAAAAGCAGAAATGGAGTCACATACTTCCAAACAAACTTCCAATAAGGATTAACCTTTCTCTTGATCATGAATTCTATATCGTCGACGAAGACATCAGCTTTGTAAATCCAAGCTACTATTATTATTTCTAAAAGGCAAGTAGTAATTACAGGAGTTGCACATGAGTACCAATCCAGGAGTTGCAAAGTGTACATGCCCCCCTGGAAAAATAAAGTTATCAGTATAAATTTTTAAATTTCTGTAGGCAGAATTGTTTTACATTCGTGATGCAGGACAGAGATCCCAAAAACATCAAAAATATAGATCCCACTAGGACATATTGTTTGTAATTAAAAAGACCAGGATAGACATCAATAAGACTCGAGATGATTGCTTCGATTTGTACAAACTGCAAAAACAAACATGTTAACCATTTTATCCACAGTTTTACCTTGTATCTATTATCTTACACAACTGTCGACTCCTAACAAATACAACATTGTGAAGAACATAATTGACCAAAAAATTGGTATAGGCATCATCGATATAGCTTCTGGATAGGTGACAAAAGCCAAACCTGGTCCACCAGTCGCTACAGATTCCACAGATAAACCAGTTTGGTCTGACATAAAACCAAGTACCGAAAACACGACAAATCCTGCGAAAATGCTCGTCATGGCGTTGATCAGGGGCAAAAATATAGCATCACTAGAACAAATTTTGATGTAAACTTGTTGTTAAATGTTGTGTACAATAATGATGTACTTACAATTGTGTATTGTTGCGAAAATTGTTAAAACTTGCCATGTTGACAATACCACCCCAGCCAGGTCCTAATGAAAAGAATATCTGGGTTGCTGCATCTGCCCAAACCTAAAAAATTAAATTAAATATATATATATATATATATATATATATGTATACTAGCAAACCCGACGAACTCCGTTTCGCCACCAGATGGTTTCGTGAGAAAGATGAAGAAATTTTTTGTTTGTTTTATATTTGAAAAGGAAATTTTTTTTTTATTACACAACAGGAATGAATTTATTTCGATTACAAAAATGAAGTGTTTTATAGTTGAACTTCTCTAAGTGAATAAAAGTAAATCCGCAAATTATCCGTTTCATGGAAGTGGTCTTTGGTAAACCACATTTTTTGTTTTTTGGTCTGACGTTAACACAAACAAAGCGGATGGATTTCCAACTCGTGAACAGGAAACGTATAACTGCCCATGTGAAAAACAATGATTTTCTAAATAATCTATTTGAAATTTATCCCGCAAACAATAAGCGATTGGCCTTGAGACTTGTTATTGCGAACTGGAAATTGCAATCGTTTGAAGTCAAACGGAAGACCAATCGGAATCATTGGTATGTCACCAAATCGCCAGCAATTTTTGATTAAATGATGAAATTCAGTGCGTGTACATCATTATTCTTTGCGGCAAGAATTGCTCGTTGACTTAACCAAGCATAATTCTGATAATTCTCACTAATGTCATTACTCGAATTTTTAATTACAGTTTGTGAAGTTCCTGGAATTTGCATTGAGGCACGATGCCATGCACCACTAATTTTCTTAGCTATTAACCTTGCGGAGCCCGAGACCTTTCCGACGAATGCAAAATTGTCGAAATCGGTTCGTGCGTTTTTGAGTTATATCGTCAGGAAGGAAAACCCGACTTATTTTTATATATATGTAGATATTCATAATTTGTATTTATCAAGTTTACCCTAAGTTCTAGTAGTTGTTCCCATTTTGGATTAATATAATAGTTGATTCCGTTCCATGCTCCTGGTAAAGTAACTCCACGGACAAAAAGTGAGAACAGCACCAGGTATGGAAAAAGTACTGTGAAATAAACAACTTTGCCAACAGTGCTGATACCTTTCCTGATGCATAAGTATACTACAACCCAACTGATTGTACTTGTTATCAACAAAGGCCAGACTATTGTTCCTTGTTCATGGATTCCAGATGAAATGTGCAGAATCTCATTGCTAAAATACAAAAAACATCATACACCAAGTTTGAATTTATTATTATTATTTATAACCCACTAAGTATTATACGTAATACTACGTAATTTTAGTGTAAGAAATATGTAATCTACATTATGTAATTCGATTACGTAATTTGCCTGCAAAAATATTACGTAAGATAAATTAGGATTTTATTAACTTCCCGTAAGGTAAGTTATTGTAATGTAAAAATGAAAATTTTTACATTTCTCGACGTTTTGAAGGTTTCTGAACATTTTGGCATACCTCATTATCAGAAAAAATGGATGTGTGTGTGTATGTATGGATACAATTTTTCGGTCACGTTTTCGGGTGCACGGATCAACCGATTTGAATGATTAAAAAAACATTCGATTCCTATTGATAGGGAGATGTGCTGATTATTTTTGGCAAAGGCAGGTCCAGCCGTTACGGAGATACGGAGCAAAAAGTGCAAAAAATTCAAATCGAGTTTTAAATGATCTAAAAAACATTCAATTTGTAATGATTGGGAGAAGAGGTGATTAGTTTTTGGCAAAGACAGGTCCCGCCATTTCGAAGATACAGAGCTAAATGTGCAAAAAATGGCAGTTTTTGAGTGAACTAAGCATCCGATTTGAATGATCTAAAAAAAATTCTGCTTGTATTGACAAAACAATTGATTTTGAGGATAAAAAATTATTACATCTTTTTTTATTTTCCGTAAAATATTTTTGTAATTTTGGATTAAAAATTCAAAAAATTACGCAGGCTAAGCACAGTCTAAGCGCCACTCTGGCACAAATGTTTACCCAAGTGCGTTTAGACTGTGACTATACGGAGCAATCTTGTGTAAATTAGGCAACTATTTTTTTGAAATTGAATTCGAAATGAAATGACAATTGTTAATGAAAGCTTCAGTATTTGTAATAATATATTTGAAAACGTTTAAATTTTCTCGAATATTTCATTACGGTACGGGAAGTTCCAGCAATTTGCCTTAAGTCACGATGCCATACACCACTAGTTACTTTATGGGTTTGCTAATGTTAAAATTGTGTACATACGCCGAAAAAATAATCATACCATATAAATGTGCTTTTTCTTTTATTCTACAGATAGTATATACACAGTAACCGTGTGGGCTTAAAAACGAACCCACTGCCTGCCTATAAAAAAAGAGCCCACCCATCTAAAAATTAGCTTCCGACGCCACTGTATATATATATGTGTGTGTGTATGTATGTGTGTGTACATACATATATATTACATATGTATGTATACGCATTTCTAAGTTTATGAATTAGTGTGCTCATATCTACGCATATGTGTGTATGCAGTGGCGTCGGAAGCAAATTTTTTATGGGTGGGCTCGTTTTGTTTTTTTTTTTGATAGACTGTATGCATTTATGAATGTGTGTAAAAAAGTGCGTCTTAACGCCATTTTTTTTTCAAAAACTACGTAATAATTACGAAATATTTTCGTAATCCATATTACGTAATCCACATTATTTAAAATAGGCGAAATTATTACACATTTTTGCATTAATCTTACGTAAAAATGACGTGAGTATGTAACTTTTCTTACGTAAAATTACATAAACATTACGGATTTTGGCTTACTGAAAAAATTGTTCAGCTGGTGTCTGTAAATTTGTTGCTCTCCAAGTAGTGTTTTTAGAAAACCTTGTAGTACCTAACTGAAACAAAATAAAAACGGTACAGTAACAATTGGCGATTGCAAGAAATCTGTACAAACCTTGGAACACCTTTCATCATTCCATTTTTGGTTACAATCAACCCAAGGAAGTTTCTTCGCCATACTATAGTACAAAAATAGTAGAGGATAGGCCAAGATTACATTGTAGTAGATGGTACAAATCAAATTGACCATAACCATGCAGTACCTAAAACCAGAAAAAATAAAATAAACTCTGTATGGTGTTTAGGGGTTCCAAATTCCTTTACCCCATTCCTTTAAACAAAGGCGATATTTTGAACATGGTGATGCACCCAGTTCCTGAAAACTGTCCTATGCAAAGTTCCATGAAGAACAGGGGAAGTCCACATAATGGTAACATGAGAAAATAAGGTACCAAGAAGGCTCCTGGAAAAACACAAAGCCAATATTTTTTCAGCAAGTTTGTCTCATGAAATTTCTACAAACCTCCTCCATTTCTGTAGCAAAGGTAGGGAAATCTCCAGACATTTCCTATTCCTACGGCGTATCCTAGACAGGATAATATGAATTCGGTTTTGTTTGCCCAGTTGCCCCTGGAGGAGGCCACACTCTCCGCATCCTAGGATAAAGGATAAAGGATAAATTTTCAGGTAACACAGGAATTATTTAAAACCAAGATTTTTAGTAGTCACTTAAATGATTTGGAAAATTCAACTATTTATTTTTCTGGTATCTATTTTTTCCTCAAACTTTATATTACCGTAGACAGAGCTGTAGAACTCATGAGGTAGTTGTCCAATTAACATCACATTAATAATTTTAATAAAAAACTAAATAAAAAATCTTATAAATAAATATTTACAAAAATAAAATCTGACGTTTTGCATTTGTCAAAAAACGTGTTTAAAAAACGAGAAAAACATGTTGAAAAATAAATAAATAAAGTCGATAATAAACAAAATTTTATATATAAAAAAAATATAAACAAATTATAATTAATTAAACTATTTTTAAAATTATTTTATCAAAAATATTACTGAAAGTTGATTGAAAAAGTGTAAAATTATCTACTGATTTGTTTTATTAAATTATGACAAAAATTTAAATTTATTTTAAATAATTTAGAAAATTAACTTTTCTTAAACTAAATTTTAAAGTATAAAATAAATTTTCATAAACAGTCGAATATAAATAGAGTCACATTTATTACTTCTATGATTTTTTCATATTAATTAGACAAAGATTTTACCTAAAAAAATATATAGTTTGCACAAAAATGTATTGTTATAGTGTTTGGAAATCACTGCTTTAATAACTAAAATTGTTAAGTAAAAAATAAATTTATACATATAAATTTATTATTTTCAAACAGAAACCACAAATTTTACTCAAAACAACGAACATTTTGTACCAAATTTTTATGACGAAGGTTGTAAATCACTGCTCTAATACAATAAATATACTTTTTACGATATTTCAGATTTATAAATTTTATTTATTTACTTCACATTACTTTTTTTCCTTTAGGCATTTCCTAGACCTCCTTCGAGTTGAAATCTCGTAATCCAACTGGTTAAAAAAATTCATTCTGCTCGTTTTATTAAATAATTTGAATACATAATTTTTTCAATTTACGAGAATTAAACCACTTGTTGTTATTAAATCAGAACCGCAACACACGAGTCTTTTGTTGGATGGGCCCCATTATAATCAAATTATTCAATATTAATAATCTGATGTCAAATTGTGCAACTGGTGACCTAATTTAAAAGAAGGTCTGTAGAAATTATTAGTAGCAAGATAAATAATGTATTGTTATAGAAATTGGATTACTATCTAGGTGTAAGTGGCGTTATCTTTCGAATAATCAAATGGTTTTTAAATTTTTAGAACCGGTTCAGCCATTTTTGAAGTCGATGAAATGTCAAAAATTTGGCTCACGTACACACACAACACATACTTCTAAATTTGGCCCCAAACTATTCAGAATGACTTGAAACGTCGAAAAAACATAAAATTGGCAAATCAGAGAAAAACATAATCTCTTTCGGGAAGTTAAAAGTATCAATTTATATAATAAATCAAATATCAAAAACTTACTGACAAAATGGCGCCCTGCCGAAGCTCAACTTTAACACTTCTTTAAAAACATGTTTTTTTCAGATATAAAGTTTTCCAGATTTATAATTCCACTTGCAGTGTGTAAATAATGTATCCAAACGTACACGATTATTGTAAAATGTGTAAAACTACCATAAATCTATTATTAACAGAAATCATAATTTGAGTATAACAAACTTACACACAAAATGTCGTTTGCATAAACCCAACCGTGACAATACTGTTTTCGGGAATATAGAGTCCACCGGATTTTTAAAACCACTTGCAAATTATTGTAAATAAGTACACGTATGTAAAAGATTATTGTAAAACGTGTAGAAAAAAAAATTGGTTTAAAACACTGCTTTTTATTAAATTCTGTACACCAAGAAAATTTAACTGACGTCCATGTTGCAATCTCACAGGACATTAGCCAGAAGTTGGTGTTGCATGATGATACCAAATATTGATTTGTTGGACAAAACAAAAATATAAATAAATAATTAATTACACAAAATTATTTGTGAAAAGTTTTAAAAACAATTTTGGTATAAATATTTTAGTTATAGTATTATTTGTCGCTATTAATTAATTAAAAATTATTTTGTTTTAATATTAATTTCTTGGTATGTTGGTACATCCGAAGGAACTTCACGTTGTTGCATTTTGCAATTACAAATGTCTTCGCGTACTTCTACTTTCAAACATTGTATTTTATTTTAATTTCCAATTTTCTGTATCATTCCAATTCACTCTGTTTTATTTCAAAATTTACAAAATCGATACACTCGGCGTCCATGTAGTCGTCGAGCCGCCTCAGAAATTGCGAAATGAGTCACTCAGAACAAAAACTGGCAGACGCACACATCGCGCCCGCAGAATTCTCTTTATTTAAAAAAACATCGAAAAAAATGTCATTTATCCAAATGACACATCTGGAACAAAATCTAAACTATTGTGCTTGTTGTATAATAAAACCGTTCAGAGTTTGTTAATGGTAAATAGTAAGTTTATGATTGTGTGTACGTTTATAACCTATGACTTATAATGACATTTGTATGTAAAATTTTTATGTTTATTATTTTTTGAATTTAAAGTGTTTTTTGTTTGGTTTTCAATATTTTCGTGTGTTTTCTTGGTTTTCATATTTTCGTGTGTTTTCTTTTAGTGTGGCGTAGTGTTCTAGGATTTATATTTTCGTGTGTTTTCTTTCGTGTGTTTTGTCTATTAATACTCATTTCAGTAAAAACTTAACATTAATATAGATAAATAATATTAAGCCTAATAATAAAATTATTTTTTACAAATGACAATAATTTAAAAAAAATATTGACAATATTAAATCAATTTTGACAAATTATTTTTATCTTATATAATTAAAGTACATATAGTAAAAATTGCCTTTAGTACATACAATTTTATACATTAATATCTCTATTTTTTACTAAAATTAAACTTGTAACTATTTAAAACTATTTTTTCACGAAAATGTTCAAACATTTTAAATTTTGCTCGCAATTTTATACGATTTTCAAGTTTGACAATTTTTTTCGTCATGATTTTGTTCCAAAAGTTGGAAATTGTTAAATACAGTTATGTAGAGAATTTTATATATGTAAAATAAAATTTATGTGCTTAAACAAGTTTTTGCGCAATTTAAACAACAGTCAAAAAACGTACAAACATTTTGTTTGCAAAATTACACAATTTTAAAGTTTGACGATTTTTTTCGTCATGATTTTGTTCCAAAAGTTGAAAATCGATAAATGCAGTTATGTAGAGAATTTTATAAGCTTTTCATATATGTAAAATAAAATGCATGTGCTTAAATAAACTTTTGCACAATTTAAACAAATGTTAAAAAATGTAAACATTTTGTATTGAAGTTTGTACTTTTAAATGGGTTGATTATTTCCTAAAAAAAATCCTTGACCCTTATGATAATACTTTATTCAAAAATGAATTCATCAAATCATATATTTGAATCCCTTAAAATTTTGCCCAGATATTAACATTTGTGTTCAAATTAATAATTAATAAATAAGTATACTAATTTATATTTATATTTCCTTTACCAGAAAAAGGGTTTTCCCCGAATTGGTTTATTAATTGGCACCAGTAGTGATGCATCAGGAGGATGGCGACCAATATCGATGACAATTTGGACTCGATGCCCGATTGGCAGTATGCCAGATTGGGCATATCACTCCTTCTCAACAATCAGGCCGAAAGGGCCGAGAGGATGTTCCAGAAAAGGCCAGATAGTACGCAAGTTAAGGCCGCCAATGGATTTCTCTTGTTCATGGTAAGAGGGTAAATGTTTACTGAACATCAGGGTAGTTAAACATCTTGTACACTTTATGACTTTAAGGGCTTCTTCAGAACTTGGAAAATGTTTTGGGGATTTTCAAGCAACAATGGCCAATTTGTCTCAATAGCTATTTCTGGTATAGAATACATGAGGGCTTCTCTAGATCATGGGAAATGTTTTAGGGAATTTTAAAACAACAAAGGCCAATTTGTCTTCAAATGTTTTCTAAACTTGTTTATCATGTTTTACCAACTGGTGACTAACCTTAGATATCCCCAAGTACTTTTTTTATACCAGGCTTTCAAAAAGGCTTTTACCTAATAGCTATTTCTGTTGTAGAATACATAAGGGCTTCTCTAGGACTTGGTAAATGTTTCAGGAATTTTTAAGCAACAATGGCCAATTTATCTCAATGGCTATTTCTGGTGTAGAATACTTAAGGGCTTCTCTAGATCATGGGAAATGTTTTAGGGATTTTTAAGCAACTATGGCCAATTTGTCTCAATAGCTATTTCTGGTGTAGAATACTTAAGGGCTTCTCTAGAACTTGGTAAAGGTTTCAAGGATTTTTAAGCTGCTATGGCCAATTTGTCTCAATAGCTATTTCTGGTGTAGAATACTTAAGGGCGGCTTCTCTAGAACTTGGTAAATGTTTTAGGGATTTTTGAGCAACTATGGCCAATTTTTCTCAATAGATATTTCTGGTGTAGAATACTTAAGGGCGGCTTCTCTAGAACTTGGTAAATGTTTTAGGGATTTTTGAGCAACTATGGCCAATTTTTCTCAATAGCTATCTGGTGTAGAATACTTATGGGCTTCTCTAGAACTTGGTAAAGGTTTTAGGGATTTTTAAGCAACTATGGCTAATTTGTCTCAATAGCTATTTCTGGTGTAGAATACTTAAGGGCTTCTCTAGAACTTGGAAAATGTTTTAGGGAATTTTAAACAACAATAGCCAATTTGTCTTCAAATGTTTTCTGAACTTGTTTATTATGTTTTACCAAATGGTGACTAACTTTAGATATCCTTTTTCATATCAGGGCTTCCAAAAGGCTTTTTCTAATAGCTATTTCTGGTGTAAAATACTTCTCTAGAACTTGGGAAATGTTTTAGGATTTTTAAGCAACTATGCCCAATTTGTCTCATCAGCTATTTCTGGTGTAGAATACTTAAGGGCTTCTCTAGAACTTGGTAAATGTTTTAGGAATTTTTAAGCAACTATGGCCAATTTGTCTCAATAGCTATCTGGTGTAGAATACTTAAGGGCTTCTCTAGATCATGGGAAATGTTTTAGGGATTTTTAAGCAACTATGGCCAATTTGTCTCAATAGTTATTTCTGGTGTAGAATACTTAAGGGCTTCTCTAGATCTAG